AAAGGCCAGCTGCAGCGTAGCCAGCAGATACCCGGGACGCAAACAATAAACGCGACTAACCCAGAAGGACGCACAGCGCTTGTGTTGCTGGGTCTGGATGCTCAAGGAGAAGAAGTACTGTTGCTTGAGATAAAAGAACTGGCTGACGATAAAGGAGAGTTTCTGTCTGTGGTTTGGCCGGCGCAGGATGTGAGATCTCGACGAGAAAGGGAGTTTTGTTCATTCCTTCTTCTGCTCTCATCTTGTTGTCATTTGCATCTTTGATGTGGTGGACAGTTAAGGCCCATTGTTTTGGCTTTTCTCATTGGATATCCCGCAAGTTTTAATGAGGACCATAGTGGGGGATTTCCACTGTGGGGTTTATATTCCTGTGAATCTAAAGAACTCTTTTTCTCCTTTGTTCTTTTACGAGGTCAGGTCTCGTCTCCTGCGTTTAACCTCCGAGCTGCGTTCTTCGCATCCTACCGCTGCCCTCGCTCGATCCGTCCGCAGCATCCACACTCTAAAGGCTCACATTGATAGCATCAAGTTTAACATTGTCAAGAAGAGATGGATTAAGTGATTTTTCGGATGCACATTGAGACTGTAACTACGTAGGGGTTTATATACACCTTAAGATGAAAAGGGAAACGAATGTACCAACGTTGGTACCGGTGGGAGTTGCAGGCCGGGTCAAATGTTTCAACCCTTCCCTGACACTAATAGAATAGTATAAGTATAGTACTTGACGGACACAGAGTATACATGTATATACATTCATTTCCCAACAATTTTAATGTGAAGGCTTGTGTATGAACATAAAATTAGGAAGGAACTATTGCAGAAAATAGTAAAAATGAGTAAAAACTAAAATTAGCATCATTAAAGAGTTTAAAATTGTTATCAGAAATATAAAAATTGTGACTGAAGCAATCCCAACTTGCATTACCGTCTGTAATAAATATTCAATTTTTACCCCAAAACTATAACCATTTTTTCTTGCCTTCAGTCTGACTGAGGAGTGAGAGACGAATTTAACACACACTGGCTTATTGGAACGGGAGGGGAGCCTTAGCGTGACGGGTGTTGCCCATTTCCTCACCCTCACCAGCACGCACTAAACCGGAAAACTGCATTTGTATTTCTCGAAGGAAGACTACAGGTACTAAAATTTCAGTTATGGTTTTGGAAAAGGTATCTTTTTTTTGTTAAGGAGCTTATTTTAGGTTCACAGGTTGCAACCATTTGTCTATATTTGACAACTCAAAGAATGAAATGGTAAACAAGAGTAGAAATGAAAACTGGTGGTGGTAATGATCCTTTTGCACCAGCTGTTTCTGCAACTTCAAAAATCGCAGCAGTGATAACGAGTGGAAAGCACACAGGAGCCCCAGCACAAGGCTGAACACACGCTGTAATTACTGCACGTACCGCAGCACACAAACAGCTGTTACCTGCTTTTCCCACCGCTGTGCCAAAAGGGGCAGGACGGGCCCAGAGGAAGCCAGCATAAGTACACAGAAAACACAAGCTTTCGTGATACTTTTCATGATAGCCATAATTCAGACGTATTAGCCTGGTGCATCAGTATGTGTTAAGATCCCTAAAGCTCCCGTTTAAGATTTTTTGACAAGAGACGGCCTATCAGCTCTTAACAATTGCTAGCGTCCGTCCTGCATACAGAGCGGCGCAGATGAAAGTGTCGGAATTAAAAAGTGTGGGGGAATCAGGATGGGGGAGGGGCGGTTGTGGGGGTCTTTCCAGCAATGAGAGAATGTCCGCCTTCTGAAAGTGCCCCTAATCCGCCCATAACTCCATTACACGTGGGACACTCTGCCGATAAGCCCAACAATAGCGATGAGAGAGAGAATCAAATAGCATCACGCTGACAAACACAATTATTTGCAAACACAAAAAAAAGGGGGTCCGTTTGCAGGGGGGCGGGGGGACAATTTCAATTTTAGATATGGCTACAGACAGAAACTGGGCCACTGCAGGCTTTGATGTCTTAATTGTGCGTGTTTTTTTTTATTCATACCAAAGAAACTGAGGCTTATTGATGAACAAAAACAGAGGAAGAGACCAGAAATGGAGATGGTGTGAAAGAGACATGCAATAAGAAATACAGGGAAAAGGGACAGCGAGAGGGAAGAAGAATGAAAGGATAGAGGAGACTGCTTTAATATGGCGTCAGCGAGTGACAAATGGGCCTCAGTCACAGGAGGGAGAGTGACAGAGCAAAGTACTGTGGAATCCCTGCTGAATGGGTCTTGATTAACTGTGGCATGGGGTCAAGCAGGGCCTCTGTCTGCTGGGGCCTGGCTTAGGAAAACTGTGTGTGTGTGTGTGTGTGTGTGTGCGCGCAACTGTAAGCGACTGAAATCTGCACTTCTGAGACGGCTGCACACTGTTTGAAAGGTAATAAGCTGCCACTATGGGGTTTTGTACGTTGTCATTCTTTTTTGTGGAGATGATCATAATTGGACAGTGGAGGAGGGACTTTACATGGTAGTGGTAGCATAAAGCTTTATTCAGGAATCAGGAAACATTCATTGCCAAAATATGTCAAACATACAAGGAATTTGTCTTGGCGGTTGGTGCGTGACAGTAGACAGTGTAACAATAGACAACAAGACAGCAGTGCACAAGTAATAAAATAAAGTAAAATGAAATGCTAATGCAATGGGTTAGTAGAATAAGGCTATGGGTTAGTATAAAACAAGAGAATAAAGTTAGAGTTAAAAATTTAAAATATTAAAGTTAAAAAATATTAAGCATAAAGTGCACTAGCGAACAAGTAACAAAGTGACGAGTGACGACAAAGTGAAAAATTGCAGTTAAAGTGACGTGTGCAGTGTGAAGGGGAGTGACCGGTGGAATGTTATAGTCAGTCAGTGGGGGACCGGGCTCTGTTGATGAGCCCGACTGCAGACGGGAAGAAACTGTTTGTGTGGCGGGAGGTCTTAGTCCTGATGGACCTCAGCCTCCTGCCAGATGGAAGGGGCACAAACAGTTTTTGTCCGGGGTGAGAGGGGTCGGCTACGATCTTTTTAGCTCGCTTCAGAGACCTGAAAGCGAACAAGTCCTGCAGGGACGGAAGTTTGCAGCCAATCACCCTCTCTGCAGAGCGGATGACACGCTGCAGCCTGCCCTTGTCCTTGGCTGTGGCTGCAGCGTACCAGACGGTGATGGAGGAGCAGAGGATGGACTCGATGATGGCCGTGTAGAAGTGGACCATCATCGTCTTTGGCAGGTTGAATTTCTTCAGCTGCCTCAGGAAGAACAACCTCTGCTGAGCCTTCTTGGTGATGGAGCTGATGTTCAGCTCCCACTTGAGGTCCTGGGTGATGATGGAGCCCAGGAAACGGAAGGAATCCACAATAGTGACGGGGGAGTCGCACAGGGTGATGGGGGAGGGTGGGGCTCTGTTCTGCCGGAAATCCACAACCATCTCCACTGTCTTTAGAGCGTTGAGCTCCAGGTTGTTCTGGCTGCACCACGACACCAGATGGTCAGACTCCCACCTGTAGGCGGACTCGTCCCCACCAGAGATTAGTCCAATGAGGGTGGTGTCATCCGCAAACTTCAGGAGCTTGACGGACTGGTGACTGGAGGTGCAGCTGTTGGTGTACAGGGAGAAGAGCAGAGGGGAAAGAACGCCGCCTTGGGGGGAACCGGTGCTGATGGTCCGAGAGGCTGAGACATGTTTCCCCAGCTTCACGTGCTGCTTCCTGTCAGACAGGAAGTCTGTGATCCACTTGCAGGTGGAGTCGGGCACGTGCAGCTGGGAGAGTTTGTCCTGCAGCAGAGACGGGATGATGGTGTTGAAGGCAGAGCTGAAGTCCACAAACAGGATCCTGGCGTAGGATCCTGGGGAGTCCAGATGCTGGAGGATGTAGTGGAGGGCCATGTTGACATCATCGTCCACAGACCTGTTGGCTCTGTAGGCGAACTGCAGGGGGTCCAGGAGGGGGTCGGTGAGGGACTTCAGGTGGGTCAGGACTAGCCGTTCAAAAGACTTCATGACTACAGAGGTCAGGGCGACGGGCCTGTAGTCATTGAGTCCTGTGATCCTGGGCTTCTCGGGAACAGGGATGATGGTGGAGGCCTTGAAGCAGGCTGGTACGTGGCATGTCTCCAGGGAGGTGTTGAAGATGTCAGTGAACACCGGAGACAGCTGGTCAGCACAATGCTTCAGGGTGTGAGGGGAAACGGAGTCCGGACCGGCTGCCTTACGGGGATTATGTCTTTTAAAGAGCGTCTCTCTCCAGAATAGAGAGGGTCGTTTCGAATCTGCAGTAGAACTCATTCAGCTCGTCTGCCAGGCGGAGGTTATTCATGGAGTGGGGGGTTTTTGGCTTGTAGTTGGTGAGGTGTCTGAGGCCTCTCCAAACCGAAGCAGAGTCACTTGCTGAGAACTGTTGTTGGAGTTTCTCAGAGTACAGTCGTTTAGCATCTCTCACCTTGCCTTGCTATTTTGACTCTGTGTACCAATCTTTGTCCCCACTCCTAAATGCCTGATCCTTCTGCAGGCGTAGTGTTCTGAGTTCCGCTGTGAACCAGGGATTGTCGTTGTTGTAACTCACCCTGCTGCATGATGGTACACAGCTGTCCTCACAGAATTGTCGGATGCACTTTAAATGGACCATAATATAATGCAGTTTTGATGATGACTTCAAACCAGACACCATAAACTCATGTTTACAATGTTTACTGGTAATAATCAAGAGAGAAGTAGAGTCATTTGCTCAAAACCTGATATAAAATCCCTTTGTTGCAGCACTCGAATCTTCCCAAAGCTTGCAAAACTGCAATCTTCCACTTCAACCCAACATGTAACATTCAAACTAATTAACTAACATGATCTAACTCAGACAAAGTAGCACGCCGGGGGCTCTTATAGTCTAAAACCATCCAACTTGTGATGGATGAGGTCAGGTTAATCGTGTCCCGGAGCTGGGGTGTCAGTAACAAAATGAGAAATGTACTTTTCCCATCCGTGGGTCTGTCACGGGCCTCACCTGGGGGCTGACGCTGGGGCCGTACCCCATGCCGGGGGAGCTCATGGAGTGGGGACCCATAGGCGAGCTGATGACGGAGAAGGGCGAGCCGAGGCCGTTCATGGGCGAACTCAGCGTGCTGATGGGGGAGTGGAGGGAGCCCGAGGGCCCCATGGAGGTCGGGCTGAGCAGAGACGGGTGCATCCCCCGGTGGGACGTGGGGGAGCCCAGGGGCGAGGAGGACAAGTGGCCCGACGAGTCTGGTCGGAGGGGGGGAACAAACATAGACATTAGGGTTTGATCATTTTTAATGATATCATCAATTTTAACATTGATAGATGGATTAGGTGATGTTTCTGATGCACATATATATATATGTATATAACTACGTAGGGGTTTATATACACCGTAAGGTGAAAAAGGAAAGAAAAAGAATTACATTTTCAGAGCTATTTGAAGAAGAAAAGAAAAGTCAAGAAAGTTATTGACACCGAGAATCCAGCACATCTGGTTAAGTGTTAAAGCAGTTGTTAAATCAGAGTGTGGTAGTTTCTTTTTTAATATAAATGTAAGAGTTCAGCCAAAGAAACCTGACACAACTAAACCCAGCGGTTCATTCTCTCGCACAAATATGCAACGGAGCCTTTGTGAAGAGTTTGACTCATCGCAGGCGCTTCCCTCAGGGATGTAGATGTATATCTATAATGGATGTGCTTGCCGAGTGGGGCAGTGGATATATAATACATAATAATAGGTGAGGGGAAAGGGTGCTGTCCTCTCATCTACACAGGAGTTATGGGACAGGCACGAGTGCCAGCACAGATAGAGGACGCTTTGTTAAGTCACTGGTAGCCACACTAAGTAGATCAACAGAAAATCATTTAACAGGACATTTATTAAATAATTGTTTGCGAACAGGAGCCTTGACAACATACAGTGTTAATCGACAAATTACATAAACAATTTTGTTCCAAACAACCCCCCCCTGCCCTCAGTCCACCTCTGATAAGTCCACGTCTTATAAGCGACCAGACCCCTCGGTTTTCTCGCGCGTTGGACCCGACCCGACCTGATGGCCGGCTGATTGACAGCTGAGAGTTCCTGGAGCGCTCCGTCTCCGTCCCAGCTGACTGCACGTGTTCTCTGAAAAAGAGGCGGGTAATCTCCGTCCCTTGCATCATCAGTAACCCTCAGAGCAGCCGGCCGGCTGGCAGCTCGCCCGTGCGAAAACTCTTCCTGCACGTCCTGCTTGCCTCACAAGAAGCGCCTACACACACATCGGCCCAATCCTTTTGAAAACAAACACACACCCTTAATAAAGGGCTCACAACGGCTCTGCATGTAGCGGTTTTAGTTCAGTGTTTAATCCTCTGCTTGATACCCCTCCAGCTTCTCTCCCTCTGATTACATTTCCTCACCCCCTTGAAACTCGCCCCCACACATCATTCCTGAAGAGTTAAATAAATAAATAGATTAATAAATAACTCGGCCTGAGAAAACAATTCCCATAACCCTTCTCAATTGGGTTTAATTCGGGCCGATAAAGAGAGCGCTATTAGGGTTGGTCTCAGCAGAGGGGGCGTGATAGAGCAAGTGGGAACAAGTGACCCAGCAAGTCCCCACCTCGAGGGGGGGCGATGGAGACTGGGCTGGGAGGGGCGTTCAGGCTGTTCAGCTCTTGCACCTCTGATGCAATTTGTGTGGAGAAGCTAATAGATATACAAGGTGAAGATGGGAAAAAGCAAGAAGAGCAAAGAGGGGTCAACAAGGACGGGAGAAAAGAGGATAGGAAAGGAAAGAGTAGGATGGAACAAGATAGCAAAATAAATGATAAATGTGGTCTGGAACACAGGTCCCCCCCCCACAATCACGCTCCTGGATGCTTCATGCACCCCAGTTCACCCCAACCTGTTGGACTGGGGGAACGTGTTTCCCCAGCAGTTTTCAGAGAACACGTGGCAGCCAGACACAGAAAAAAGCAGACTCATGTTTAGATAGGGCTTGAGGCGCCCTGGTTTGGCCTGCGCAGTCGCTGGGCACACAAAAGGCCCAACTGACAGCTACAAATAAGCAAATTAGGGACAGCTCTACCGGCGGGCGCAGGCGGATTTGTGCTATTATCACGTCACCGCTCCATACAGGCGTCTCCTGTTTCCAAACAGCGCTTCCCTTCCTCGCTCTTTTGTTTTCGACGTTGGGTGTGATTACACAGAGGAAGAAATGTGCCAATTTGTTTTTCCGGCCTCGTGCCTTTAGAATATGATAAATGGGTGATTGAGATGCGGGTGGGTGATGAGACGAAAGGAAAGGGGACGGCGTTCATCCAAAGCGCTTGAAACAAGCTTTGTTTACGCAGTTTGTGTTTTCCTCTCCTGATGGGCGACGTCGTGATTAATGGCCGTCCTCTCCACAACGATGACGCCATCTGTCACAGGCTCGGCGGCGAAGGAGGAAATAACTGTAATAGGATGCTCAGGTCGGTTTCAGGATGAAAGCAAAGGGAGTTTTGGAGACGTCCATGGAGAGGCGGCTGTAGATGCAGGTTTGATCCAGGCGGTGAGATTTGTGACAAAATAACAAGCTGGAAATACAATTAGTACTACTTCAAATCTGCTTCCGCAACTTTTTGCCACTGAATAAAGACAGACCACTGGTGTGAAAGGTTTGGCAAACAAAGCACCCGACAGTCCGTCAACATGGTTTCCCTTCACCTCAACAAAGGAGCTGCAGACGGCAGAACTCAACCGCACCCCAGCTGCAGAGGCACGTAAAATGAATCATATTCTGAACAGCCAGTCCAGTCCTTTTTGGAGAGGAACTGACAAACAATCTGGTTAGCCACTGAGGCAGGTGGAAGCATCAAGAGGCGAGTTAGCGAGACATGAACGGAGAATTCAAACTCGTAAATCTTGTGCGAGCAGAATCCCACCAGGTGCTTCGGTTTCTTGAAGAGAGCGTGTAAACTGGGGGCTTTTGGTCCAATGCGTCGGTGGTTGCTCGTGGCAACTTGCACTAAGATGGCAAACGTTTTCTTAACAAGGTGGGAAGGCTTCTGCAAGGACACCCGCCGTTACCATGAGCAACCGCTTTAAAACGAAACCCTGACCCTGAGTTTACGTCGGCGTCTATTTGTCCTGTTGACTATCAACTGGAACACCGGCTTCACATCTCTGTCAGGACACTCAGAACGTCATTTCAGATTTAGCACACGGATCTGGAAAGTCTATGTGTTTGTGTTGTATTGAGCATTTTTGTTGGTCTAAGGTCTCTATTGCAGTCCAGTGCACGGCCTCCTTCTTTACAAACTGTAGAAAGAGTCTGTAAGGCCGAGTTGAATGAACAAGTGGTTGAAGAGGAGGATGTTCTGGTCTCTATAGTTACACTGAGTCACTGATCTTCAGGGGCACTGTACAGAGCGTCCTGAATAGACACGGCTGAACAGAGCAGGCGGTGAATGGGGGACTGTGCTGGAGGGAAATCTATCATATATATAAAAAATAGCTGTATCTGAATTGTAGCCCATGCTTTCTACCGTAAAAAAACACTGGGTTGGGCATTAGCTACAAAACCTTTTTTTGTTTTTCATGCCCTACATGACTCAAATTGAATGCAGTGGATCTCTTCCTCCTCTTCATACTGAAGTGAATCAACAGCAGCAGAGGAAATCTCCCACTGAGATGTCAACAGCTTTTATGGAGTCTACGAATGACTCAGCAGGCTGCAGAGGTGCAGTTATACCAACAGTTGTTCGAACTGGCTCATGAGTTTGTGTGGCCTCTGCCAACAGTAAGGGACTACTGTTTGCATTTTCTTCCTTTGCCCCGTTTCCTTCTGGTCTTCTGTCTTCTCCTTCCTCTTTTTTTTCAAACGTTTAAAGTCACAAAGCAGACTGATGCTCACTTTTTAGTCCGCGGCCAACTCTGCTCTTCTATTATTCATCTGTTGTTGCCTCGTGCCGCCATTAAATCTCTTTTTAGCTCCAGTTCACCGTGGCCGACTGCCGATGGCCGCGTCGTAATGATTTCTTCGAGAAGTCCCAAAACAAAAAAACTGGGCGCCGCCGGTTTGTTGTCAACACACGTGTGGCTCCTCTCCGATACCGCGTTCTTTTCCTTTTTGTCCGTTTGTTTTTTTCCTCACTTTGTCAGAGCAGAGTAAACAAATACACCAAACAAACAAAAAACTATTTTCAGAACGGCTTTGTGTAGAGCCATGAGCACACAGAGGAGGGATTGTGGGGGCCAGGGGGGTTGAAATGAAACATTTGTGAGTCGTTTGCTCCATACCAAACTATGGTTCCTCACTCACAAACAGAGAGAGACACACATCTGGGTGAAGTTGCCGCCTGTCAACGATAAGACTGCCTCCATTTTCTTTATTCCCTCTGTTGATTTGAGACGTTTTTCATTTTTTTTCCAGAGGTTTTTTAGCAGGAAGCAGGAGTTTGCTTTTCATTACTATTTCTCACAATTCGTTAGGATAGAAGAGGAGAAAAACATTCAACAGGAAAGAGGATAGAAAACTCCAGTTCCAGATTGCTGACGCTGGTGGGAGTGTGCACACCTGTGTGTGCCCATCGGGGAAAGAGAGCAGTGGAGAATCGTGAAACGTAAAAAAACGTTATAAAGAAACACTATATAGGGAGGGACACGGCACCATGACGAGAGCAGGCTGATGTTTTTACTCAATGGCCCGTGTGTGTGTGTCTGCGTGTCTGGACTATAAGACCCTTACACGGCTTGTTTTTCAGACTGTGAAGTACCAACGTCAACGTGCTTTAAATGATACGTTATGTGTGTCATTACTGTTCCCCACTACACAACCACACTGATCTGGGGCCTTCAGTTAAGGTCCGCAGGGTGAATAATCCAGACTGCTGTGTCTACTCCATGGATAGGGGAGAGGGGGTGGGAATGGGTAGGAGGGGCCGAAAAGGTCATTTATTCACATGACAGCATTCGTGTCACAAAAAAAATGAATCTGCAAACCGGGGAGTGATCAAATTCATTGGAATGGACATCCAAACTCGGAAGCAGGACATTCCAGCCTTAATGCACAGACTGAAGATGAACATTTTCACAAAATAAACATTTTCAAACAAACTCTTACCCCTTTGCCCCCCCCTCCCCCCCCCATGTTCATCCCAGTCAGCGAGAAGGCGCGATGATGAGGGCATTTGTTCCTGTAAAAGGAGAGATATGATCTGACGGGCAGCTGCGACTGGAGCTGCACCTTTGTGACAGCTCATATCAAAAGCAAC